GTCAGAGCCTGGGGTACATGTGAGAGCATTGAACCTATAGGTAGGTATTGACTTTATAAGCACTTATGCACAAATTAGAATGAAAAAATAACTGGGACAAATATTCTGTTTACAGACTGCTCGTATATTCAAACCATGGTTTTAAAGCTAGGAACATGAGGGCAGTGGAATTTGTTTACTCTGTATTCCAGATGCATTAATTATTGTAATCATGTGGCCAATGTGTCAAAAATCGGATTTTAACTGCATTTAGTGGTTTTCCACTGTACGCTGGAGTCCACTTTGCTAACACTGTTTCAAAACTTATGGTTTGATTATATATTTTAACTATAGATGCAAACAGTGGTACCTTTGGAGAAATTGCAGAAGGAAAGCCGAAAATGTGTGGCCACCAGTCTCATAAAACATAGCAACCCACACAGACAGTGTATACATGTTTGTGTGTATAATATTTTTGCATATTTTTTTAAATAAAAATATCCAGTTAATGGAGAAAATGCCTAAATAGCCATACAACATGGCGGTGTCCAGTATGCGTCAAATCTGCATTGGAGCATGTGGCTGTGTCCAATATGCGTCAAATCTGCATTGGAGCATGTATACTACATGTAGATGTGTCATTGTGTGATACTGCATTTGTGTGTTCCTTGTGGACCCAGTAATTACTGTGCATGACATTGAGAGCGGTGCAGTGGCAGTCACCCTGCATTCCTGTGTTCAGAGTCTGGAAAGAGAGAAATCATAAGAAGAAAACAATTTTAGAGAGTTGTTACATTGACAAAGCAGAGTGAGAAATAGTCAAACAAATAAAAGACATAATGACAATGACAGACAGATATTGGTTGTCTAAAGGCGGTAGGATGGACACCTGGATAACAAAAGGAAAGACTCTAGGCACCTTTAGCTGGACTCAGAAAGTGGAGAAGGCTGAGGATGTAGTCTAATCTGAACATCTGCTTTTTTCATTTTGGAAAACATGTTTTCTTTTCACTTATACTTTGCTCTTTTTTATTCCACTCCTTGACTTCAGGCCTCATTGTTGACACACGAGTGTGGTCACACACAGACACAAGCACAGGCTCTTTAATTGTGAAGTAATTACACCTTTCACAGTAGGCAAGTGGAAGAAGGAAGAACAGCAGACTGATGGAGAGCATTCTTCTGTTGTTTGGATTGCTCTCTCTCCACATAGTATCCCAGCAGTTTTCCAGAGATGATGCCAAATCAAATTTTAAAATAATAAAACTGCATGTGTGCCTGTGTCCATGCATTTGACAGCCAAGGTTCTTTTTTTTCCCTCAAAGTCATGCAAACATTTACAAATGGCTCTCTGTAACTATTTTTGTTCCTGCTGGACACCACGATCTACGGTAACTGGCCGATTAAGGACTACCAGTTACCCACCTCTCAAATTCTAAAAGAGTGTTTATGCAGACATTTTGCATGTAAATACATAGAGTTTCTTCCATAAATTCTAGAGTAGCTTGTTTTGAACATTGCATCCACTAGCACCACGGTGCCCTGTTAACATGGGCTGACTATTAGGGTCACCTGAGCCAGCTCTAACTATAAGCATTATGCAAAGAAAGAGTTTATAAAGGTAGAGAGGGTGTCTGCATCCTGAACCCAAACTGGGAGCTGGTCCTACAGGAGAGAAGCCTGATAGCTAAAGACTCTGCCTCCCATTCTACTTTGGAAATTCTAGGAACCACAAGTAGGCCTGCATGAGATAAGACTGAAGTGCTCTGTTGGGACATTACAATTCAGTCTATGAGGATACAATAGAGCTTGATTGTTAAGGGCTTTGTATGTAGGGAGAAGGATTTAAAATTCTGTTCTGGATTTTATAAGGAGTCAGTGAAGAGAAGTTAACATGGGAAAAATATGATCTCTCTTGTTATTTCCTGTCAGTACTCTTGCTGCAGCCGTTTGGATTAACTGGAGGGTTTTTAGGGACTTACTGGGGTGTTCGGGTAGTAATGATTTACAGTAGTAGCAGACTGCCCACCATGCATTGTTTAACAGTTAATTTGACAGAGATGTTTTTGTATTTTGAAGGACCCATTCATGGTGGAAACATGAATAATACATGTTAAATTAAATCATGGTTGTTTCTTCAACAACAGTGCAAACAACACTGAAGACTTGTAGTCTCTACACTGGGAGAAGCATCACAAGCTATCAGCTCTGGTACAAAATGGCTCCAGCAGCTACAGCTGTAAGTTCTTCAAGTCAAATAATGAACTGATTGTTTAAACTAAGAAACGTAAGAGGAAAGCAAAACTAACTATAATGACTGTCCAGGAGCCATCTGACAGAGAAACATGCAAGTCTACAGTGATTATTGATTTTCTTTTAATTGACACAATCTAAATCAGCCAAATTTAACACACAATATTGGAATCTACTATAAAAAATAATTCACAGATGTTTAATACATATTTTAATACAGCAACAAATTATTTAAATAATCTTGTATCCTGATATTGTGTTCAGGTTGGTCCATTTATCAAAAACTTTGTAATGAAAATTATCATAAAGTATATGAGCCAAAGATGTAGGATATATTGCACATTAATGGGAAGAATACATTGTGACTGCCAGCTATTTTTGGAAAGCCATTTATATTAGCCTAAAATAGTGCTTTAACATTATTCTACAAATAAACAGATGAGGAAACCGAGTCAGTGACCAGGTCATCCTTTATGCACAGATCTGAAGCAGTAAACTATGACCCTAAAACTAATGGCTATTACCAAGCTATTCAAATGACAAGCTGGAGGCTTTGTCTGGATGAAGCTGGACTCTAACTGCAGGTTCCCTAACACCAGGTGGAATCACTCTCCAAACAGCTCCAGAGTTCCTGCTCAGCTTCATGGGATCACATGGGACTCTTGGAATTCACTCTGGCATGCCATCCAACGTCCTGCAGCCTTCTCAAATCCACAGGTTTTGCAATGATGTCACTGGGAAAGCTTAGTGCTTTCATGCTAGCAAGCAACCAGGCAAGCATAATAGCTTAATAGCTTCTGGAAACACTACACGAGAAACTGTGAGACAATTTTCTGGGAGTGTTATCTTAATATCTTAATAACAGCTGTTCTTTTTTAAGATTTTTGACTTAAAAGATGCAGCTGTAAATGTTGTCTACAATGGTCTAAAATGAAGAAAAAACCCAGATATGTTGCCATGAGAAGCAAGTTTCAGAAATGTCTTTATAGCACAGGATCTGTTGGTTCCACTGTCCAATGACAAACCGTAAGTGGTCTGTATTCATTTTTCCAGTAAAGTTATTCCAGGAATGGTCTAGGCAGTGACGTGTATCACATTCCCTTTTGTTTCTTGCCAAGCTTGAGTGTTTATCCTGCTATTTGACAGAGTACAGAGAGTTGGGCCTGTGAACTTTATGTAACTGAATATGTACACTTTGAGGGACATGTGCTATAAGTTGATACTTGCAGTTCTATGGGTTCAAAACCTTCACTGACTCTCCTGTTCTCTGCCGGTACATGTTTACATATACCAGGTCTCATGGAGCACTGGGGAGCAGCAGAGAAAGTGGGACAGGACTGGGTACACAAGTTTTCTTCCTGTTTATTCACACAGAGATCCTTACAGTTCCTGAGAGATAAGATAATGCTGCTTCCATGGATATTTGTGTACGTGTATGTGCTTTTGTGTGATTATTGTGTGTGTAAGCAAACCCTCCTTGACCTCCATCCTAACCAGATGACCATTTTCAAGACTACATTAGTCATTTTCTAACCATAAGAATACATCCTGCATGATGCTTCAGTTCAAAACCTCTGCATAGCATAAATCATGTTAATGGTATATGAACCTATGATCTCCTGCCAAAATGATCTATTTCTGCACCAGAGCTGCCGGCACTGAGTCCTGCCTGCGTGATGTTGTGACTGATTCATGACTGTACATGTAGCTGAGATTTTTCAGATAGTGGCCATAACTTACTCTAAAGAGCAGCCCAACGCCACCGTTTTTTCAAGAAACTTGTATTGAATTTTTAATGAATCTATTCACTTACTTTTTCACCTAGTCTATGTAAATACAGTGTTGTTGAAACTGACAGAAAGCTTCCTCAGTTGCACATTGTCTTTGGCAAATTGGTGTAGGAGCGGCGATCATGTTGGGTCTTTGTGGCACAGGCAGGGCACAGGTATGCTGTGAGATGCACTTTTATATCAGTAGCTCTTCTTGTAAAAGGTAAAGTATAAAGGGTACACTGCCAGCGCATGTGTGATCAGAGCAACTCCAGTTTTTCATAGCTGCAGAATGTTTCCCTTAAATTATTGTATTCTCAAATAAATAAAAGCTCACAGTAATATTCTTTAAAACCCATTCTTCATAGACATTAATCCTACTCAACTTCACTTCAAGATAATTATGAAGGGCATATGTTGACATATGTTCAATATGATAAAGTACTTTCCTCTTATGTTCCTGCTGTATGTGATTTTCATTTATAGTAACAGGCCTACATACATGTCCTCTGAATAAGGTTATAGTCTGATATGGGAAGGGGTTATGTGCAACAAACTTAAGAGCCAGCATTGTCCTGCCAGCTGCATGATAGGAGTGTTAGCAGTTTGTTTAGACACCAGTCTGGTTCTTTTTTCATGCACACTAACCAAATGAATCAAAACCTAGGACTGGGCTGCATCCTGTGAAAGGAGACTGGACTACATTCTTGTTTTAATATAATTAGGGAAACATATCAAGGTTTCTTGCAACAAACTGGGCCTGAAAGAATGCTCTCTTTTTCTCCCTCTCTTCCTTGGACTCCCCTTCGTTCTCTCTGTGAACCAGTGAGAATGAAAGGTCAAGTGTAGGTGGTCTGTCAACACCTGTACATTACGCTCTGTGTGTTTGCGTGTGTGTATGTGTGAGAGAGCGAGAGTGAGAGAGCGAGCAAGACTCCCTCCCCTTGCTCCCTCCCCAGCTCTATTTCCAGCTGTTGTCACATTCCTCTCCCCGTTGCAATAGGCTGAGGCTGCCGGCTTTTTACGTTTGTTTGGTGTGTGTGTTCGTATGCGAGTGTGACAAGGGAGTCTTTTCCTAGAAGTTTACAGCTAATGCATCTGTCAAGAAGGGGACTGACGGAGACAACAAGGAGCTAAGTAATCATAAAAGGGAAACGTGACAGAGTATCCTCAGGAGTTTTGATAGACGACACAATTCTGGATATTGGAGCAGCTGCATAATTACATCCTTTCTGTACTATGACAAAAGTGGCCAGCCCCGCTTCAGTGACGGTAAGCCTGCTTATAGGAGAATTAATCTTTTTGTGTTGCCACATTATAAAGTTTTAAACTCTTATATGCTGTTTCAATGGCCACTAATGTTTAACATGCAGCTCTGGGGATTAGTTGTACTGCTTCTTAAGTGAGCTGTTTAGCAAAAGACTAAATGTCATCCAACTTTACGGACTTTCTTTGTAGGTTAGGCTACTGATTAAATGTATCTCCATTAAAGGCATATCATAGTGGAGTGATTGCCCTAAAGATAAACATACAGATACGTGACTGTTGATGACCTATACATGACCTAGATATTATAATAATAATATTTTTTATTATATGATTGACAACAGTTAGAATGATAATGCCATGGTCTGTAAGAGAACCAATCAGAGCAGTGTTTTGGCTTATTTTGATGCATATGCAGGATCCTTATGTCACATTTTGACCCAAACAAACTGGTCTGATATTATCAGATCAATCCTTTGCACAACCTGGAACACTTAAATTACTGACTCAGGGGACAACTTTGTCCTTGTTCCTTAAGGCCTGCAGCTTCAGAGGAGTGTAATACTGACTCTTCTGCTAACTTGGAATCAACCAACACTTTGAAGAAAACAGACCATCAGGCATTCTGTCCTCTCACCCCCAGATCTTTAATATTTCATGAGTATGGTTATGGATGAAGTGTGTGTGTGTGTGTGTGTGTGTGTGTGTCTGCTAAGATATTACTCACAATGTGGGGCCTAAATCCTATGCACTTTTTCATACTGGGGGGACTTGACCTTCTTGTGTGGCTCCGTGAATTTTAGGGTGACAGCTTGGTATAAGCTTAGTGTTGGGGAAAGGTTAAGGTAAAGGCTGTGTTTCTTATTGTAAGTTGTGGGATCAGACTGTAAATTTGTTTAAACTGTCACACTGAGGGGGCTCAACATCCTTATGAGGACATAAAGCAGATCCCTAAAATGTAAATTATTAAATGTTTGAGTGACAACTTGGTTTAATAAAGTTGGGGTTTAGACGAGTAGTAGTTATGGATAGGTATTAGGTTTAGGCTTAGTCTCCAGGAAATGAATGTAAGTCAGTGACATGACTGTGTGTGTGTGGGTAGGTGGGTGTGTGTGCGTACATATAGAAGTGTGGCACTAAATCAGGTCCTGTTTATTGAAATTCAGCGGATATACTCTATTAACTTTAATTTCCCTGTGAGAAAATAATAGGTACGATGGTGCACTTGTGGCATTGGTTCTGGTTGGTTATGTAGAAACAAGCTGCATGCTGCATATTATGGCCTTAGAAAGTATCTTATTATGTTGTGGATTTGTCTTCGGTGGGTCCAATCACATTACTTTACCCAGATACAGTAACAACACATCTGTATCTTTGCTGTTTTTAGAATAGGAACATAGCCTCAGTAGCCATACTGTTGCACCTTTGTTCTGCCCTTTTTCTCAATTAGTGTAGTCCCAAAACAAAGTTCACTGAAAAGTCACAAATCAAATTGACACACTTTCCAAAATTCCAGAGAGGATAAAAAACAAAGTGATTAAATGCATGTCTACAGCTCCAACAATGTAGACATGAATTTGATCATGTGATGAAATGGTTCGGTCTGGTGACCATGGTTGGGATATACAAAAAAGACGGGGAAACAGCGTGTTGTTTAAGACACTGATAAATATTTATTCTCAGTTTTTAATGTGATGAGTGGACAATAAAGGCTTTGGAAAGGATATTTAGCCTCTCTGGAATTTGTTTTTCAGACAGTGTGCCAATCTGATTTGTGACTTTTCAGTGATCTTTAAAATATGAAAATATGAAATGTAAAAACCTGTTTACAGAGGGTGTAAGATTAAATCAAAACATGTGATTTTGTAAAATCATTATTGCACCATAATGTTAATCTGTAGCTAAAACGATTATACTTGTCAACTTGGCTCTGGCCATAATGTGGAAACGAGGAGAATTCACCTGCTCCAATGTGAGGGTTCAACATACTTTACTAATACTGTAATCAGCTACTAGACTCATGCCTCATAGTGAGAATGTCCTGAATCTATATTCTCAGCTGTGCAGAAGTAAATTAGAGTTTTTTACTGTATTGGCCAAATATACAATTCAGCATTCTGTCTGCAATATATACTGTTAATGTGTTTATAAGGTCAGATGGAAATGGCAAAAGAAGAAGGCTCTTGAGGGCGAACTGCAGCAGTTGTATTCAAATAGCTAAAAACACACGACAGATTTTTATGTACTAACTGGGATTTTATGATGGTAAAAGCTTGGACTGCCATTAGTGCAGTATAGAATCACATTTTGTTTGGAGGCCAGATGTGCAACTTGAGAAAGCACATTTTAGTCCACCGCTAGTCTTTTATTCCTTCATCTCTAGAATCTTAAATCTGTTTTTTCTTTTTCTTTTGTCTCCTAGTTTTCCCCCACACTCAGTTTGCTTCTCTTGTTTTCTAAAAGTCTATTTTTCTGACGATCCAGCAGTCACAGTTCATTTCACCATGTGAGCTATAAACGTGGGTTATATGTTCCTGTACCACTTCACTGTCTCACCTCATTTCCCTGTCATATCCGGCCTGCTGGAAACACAAACATCATTTGATCCTCTTCATATGGCTGTTACGATAATCTGGGCTTTTCCAAAGCTGCACACACCCTCTATGGAAATTCAAGTTAGATTTCCTCCAACTTTGAGGTAGCTGCAACAACAATGGACTTGTCTTTTGAAGAGATGTTTGTGAGATGTTTCATTGTTTCATTATTTCACAGCATACAGTGTATTGGTTTTAGGGCTCTGATAAGAAATAGCTTTAGGTTAATCATTAAGGGCAGGGTTAGGGGCTAGGAAATGCTTTATGTTGACAAGTGCGCTCACAAAAATAGAAAGATTTATGCGTTCTTGCACTTGTATGGCTTAAGTTTGGTTTTGGGTTCTTTGTTTTTGTTTGTTTTGTGTGTGGTTGAGTTCTATACCTTGGGAGTGGGGACATACAATATTTGGAAAGTGAGGACAAGCCAGTTGAGTTGCCTCATATGAGGGACACTCAGAAAGGGAATCCATATTAAACAGCATCTGTGATACAATGTTGGCTTTGTCAGGTGGGAGGAGGAGAGGGGATCTGTGGAATGTGAGGGGAGGACATGTTAGTGAGAGGGATGGAGCAAGAACAGAAAGAGGAGTGTATCTATGCAAAGCTGAGAAAGGGTGAAACTCAAATAAGAGATGAAACATGTAAAGAGCATGAGAAAACCAGATGAAAAATGTTTATAAAATAAATGCATTTTATAAAGGGAATATTTTTTTAAAAGAAGCACAGATGGGACTGAAAGCAATTTATTTTATTTTTAGACATTTATGTTATCTCTGTAGAAAGTCATCTGGCTTACCAGTCACATACTGTATCATTATTCCATCCTTCATCTCCATCACTTGGTTGAGTTCATAACTCAGCCCATAGCCCCGATCTTGAGGAGCTGCCTGCATGGAAACACCATCTGTCCTCAGGCCAGTGTCATCCTTAAAACAGACACATGCACTGAAAAAGCAGATGGTCATCACTGAATATCTCCACCCACACACACACAAAGATCTTAGTGATCATATCTGCTACATGTGGTGCCCTGTGTTTTCTGTTTTTTGATATTGTTGTTGATCTTTGATATTTTATCTTGATAGTAAAACCCAGGTCACACCTTTAAGATACCCGCACTGCCTGTGACATTATTTCAAAAACTGGAAATGAGTGGATTTGGTATATTTATTCAGTTACAGACCGAAATTGTTAAACTTCAGAAAACCAGATACACTGCTCAACTCAACAACTAACAGAAAAGTGGAGAGTTTAGAAGTGAAGAATATGACATTGCTCCCATTGTAAAGGATACAAGGTGTCAGTTTTTGGGGTCAGTCAGATAAAAATACTGTACAATACATGCTGTACTCACATATTAAAGGAAATAGAAACAGAAAGTAATAGAGCAAAAGTGAACAGAGACAAAACAGATGGAGAAAAAATACAGAAGAAAGAAGGGAATAGAGGGGTGAAAGCAGAGGCTGAAGAAAATTAAATAGTCTTGCCTTCTGGTTTTATGAGACTTCTCCATCACTTTCTCATCCTCCTCCATGTGTTTCTCTTTCCTTCTCTTTGGCTCAGTCTCTGTCTCCAGATGCAGGGTAAGATGAACATTTTGGGGAGACTCAGCTGTTCTACAGATGGGATCAGAGAGATTATGGTGTCCTTGTGAGGTTGAAACCATTGTGTATTTACAAAGTTGTCTTAGCTGGTCTTCGAATATTTAAAGGGCTAGTTCAGGTGTAGACCAGTTTAGAATTACAGTTTGTATTAAAAGTGGGGCAGGGTTGTGTGTTTAGGATATTTTCCAACTTCCCCAACAACTTTCCCAAAAAAGAAAAAAAAGTCCCAATGAAAACGTTCCTGCTGTTTCATATCATTCCATTTCAGGAGGCAGTTTCTGATGATATATTTGCTCTAGTGGAGTTTGTTTCCCTCAGTCTGCCTCATATGTTTCTTATATGACTGAAAATGTCCTGGCACAAGGGTTCTTGAGTGTTTTACGTTAAGTAAACACAACTTGTCCTGTGACTGCAGACACCCTGGTCCACAAATGGGTGACCTCTGTGTATGTTACCGCTGTGCATGGGGGATTTGTCTGAATTTCTTACACATCAATAAAATTGCAAAGCTTTTCTTGTTTGCACATTCTCTTTCTTGTTCTCTTGCTTTCTTGTTTCCCTGCTGCCTTATGGGAGCACACTGCACATGCTGATTAACAGCCACTGTACTGGAGTCAGATTCCTTAGGTGTTCACCATACCTGGCCAGTAAAGCTGATTCTGATTCTGAAATTGCAAGTCAACTCAGAGCAAAATGTGATGCTAATGTTTCACATAGATTAAAGAATATTTAGCCATCAAACCCCACTGTAGCTTTAATGGAAATGTGACATCCTGTCAGGTTGAGTGGGGTTAGAGATATAGATCAGAATACCTGAAAAATACAAAACAAACAAAAATCAGCCAAAAAATGAACACTTGTTTAAATAAGGATTCTGTTGCTAAAACTGAAATGTGTGATACTGGGAAATGTTGTTTGTTAAGGATGATATACTATCATCCCGTCATGTGTTTAATAAACCATACCATTGTTATTGTCTATGCTAACATATCTGTATAGACTAGGTTGGGCAATTATTTGCAATAGCATAATCTCAAAAATGTAAAAATAAAACTCACACCATTACTATTTTTACCTTTGGAAATGACCTGTATAATGTTTTATGTAATGCTATAGTAACTTATCTGCTCCATGCATGATTGTCAATTTTGTGTGTATACTAGGTTTCTTAACTCAAAGAATTGAGTAGATTTTTTTTTCATTTACTTGTCAACATTGCAACAAGCTGCAAAGACATCCCTAATATAGTTGTAGTTATAGCTTTTTACAGTTGTTATTGTGAAGATGTCAGCAGTTGCTTGCATGTATCATAGGCTTCTGTACACATCTAAGATATACAGAGCAACTTTAGCATTCATTTGGTCTCCTTTTTCTGGTCACCTAAGTCCAGCATTCAGTCTTTCTCCTGTTTTGCTCTGTAGCACTCAGGGGAACAGCAGAGTCCAGTGATAATTGTTTGTAAGTTTGCCCTTCAGTGTTCAGTATTAAGATATTGATTAAAACAGTTTTAAATACTAAGAAATAATTGTGCATCTACATCATGTGTGTTTATACAGTTAAATGTTTACCCCTCCATACCTACAAATACCTAAGCCACCCAGCAGTCAAAAGGCCTTGATAGGATCAGGTTTGGTGCTTGGATTTGAAATTGAGAAGAACTTCAGGAATCTGAGAATCTTGAGAAGCCTCCCTGCTTTACTTTAACTAGAGCATAGCAAGGCCAACAACTTGTCTTGACCTGCCCCGACTGGAGCTCATCTAGAGAAAGGAGGAGAAAGAGGGCAACAGAGACACAGTGAGGACGATAGAGAAAAGAAAAGAGTAGTTATTTGTGAGAGAAGGTGAGAGGAGAGAGTCAAGGAGGGAGGAATGCAAATACTGGAAGCGAAATTTGATTTTGACCCATCATTTTCATCTGGACTCCCAAACACTTGTGATGTTACCATCATACATGCTGTGGTTGCTTTGTCTGTGCCAGTGATGAAAAAAGTCAGTGGAATGTGGGACCTCATATCTTTGTGCAATAACAAAAAGAGCTGAGGGAAGGAAGCTGGTGCTGAATTAGAGGAAGTGGTGGGAAGCTGACTTTGGTTTGTGTTTCCTCTGCTGGAGGAAAGGAAAAGAGAGGAGAAGGAAATTTAAAGGACAGAAGACATTCAAGAAAAAAGTAATTTGGTGACTGGGGTGGTTTCCCATATGAAATCATCACTGCTGTGGTGAGAAGTGTTTTACTCATTGAAAAAGAAATGAATGCTCAGTGAACCTGTCATGATCCACTGCACTTCCTGTCTCAGACTTTTATTTTGTTGACTCATTTCCTTTGGCGGTTCCTTACCTGTCTCTGTTCATTGCCAGTTGGTTGTTGGATGCTTGCTCTCAAGAAATGCTTCTGCTGCTATCATGTCTCCTGACATGTTACTGAATTATATCTCTGATGGCGGCTATTGAGGACCCCTCCTTTTCATGGCTGTCGGATTAGCTAGCAGTTATGTTTGGAATCATATTCTGTTAATGGTTTGTATGTTCCCCTGTGTTAGTTGTTCTTTTTCCAGTGTACCAACTGTGAGAACCTTTTGTTGATTTGGCCTAGTATTTGCAGAGAAAGTTCAGTTGTTGTATTTTTTGTTCAATGTTCACACCCCAAAACCAAACTTTTTTTTTTGGTTGTTTGTTTTTTGTCCAGTTTATGCTTTTGTGGTGTGCTATATTTTTGGCAATTTGTCTTGAATATTTGAGCCCAGAAAACCATGATTTTTTTTAAACTGTGTTTGTGTTTCATGTTTTTTAATGGCCTCTTTGCTTACCTGCCTTGACCCCACCCCTTCTTACCTCAGTGGACTTTTCCAGTGGTACAAGCCAGTTAGTGCCCCTAGGTCCTCAAATCTGTTTCTTTTAGTTTTACCAAAGGCTAGATACAAGCACTAGGATGATCTCACTTTTGCTAAAAGGCCAAAAACTGTGGAACAGCTTACTAATTAATATCAGACCTACCAGTCTTTAAGTCACTGCTTAAAACTTATTTTCCATGGCCTTTGGATCATAGTGGAGTTGTCGTGTCTCCTCTTTGTTTTGCTTGTTATGTTGCCTATGTAAAGTACTTTGGTCAACAAGTAGCCATTTTTAAAGTGTTGTATACATTTTGTTTTTAATTCATCAAATCTATGTAAAAATCTTAAAACTTTCACCTTGATCGCATTTGGGTCCAAATAATACTACAAATTCTAATTAAAACGCTAATGAAAACATCTATTCAGTATACTTGTTTATCATTTGTTTTGAGCTACTGTTGGTGACTGAAAATATTAAAATGTGTTTGTTTAGATGTATAGGATATTTGTGTCCAGAAATGTGTCTATAATCTGCCACTTTCACCATGGCCAGTTTGCATGAATGTATTTATTTTTCTCCATCTGTAATGCAGGACTTGGAGATGATGTTGCAACCAGAGTCAGATCAAGTGTCTCCAGCTGTCCCCAACGTGAGAGAACACACACAATCACATTGTCATTCCTCAACAAATTCGCACACAGTATTTCAAAATGCTTTATTTAAAGGTAAAGGGCCAGACTAATATGAAATAAGTTATCATTCTCTGAAGTGCTTTAAGAGTCAGATTTCATGGTTGTCTAGTCCCCTTTCATTGAGAAGCATGTACTGACTAAATAAATTGTGTGCTAAAATAGATTTTTCCACTCTGATTAATGCTTGTAGTGTCCACCTCTGGACCTGATTGATACAGGGAAAGGGCTCAAGGTCCAGACAGCTACGCCTCATTTGGTTAGTCTGGGCAGTGGAAGGCTGAGTGTGGCAATTACCCTGCTGCCACTGAAAGAAGGTAATACACACAGAGTATAGAAGCTCTTTACCCCTGAGGTAGGATTATTAGACCATACAATAGCCATTCACAAGAGATGTAAAGATCTATAAGATGGTACACTGGCTTATATGTTTGCACAGCTTACAACTTGTAAACTGGTTTCTTATTCTATAAATATAAGCGTGGTTTTAGCCACAACACATGAATAAATGCCATTAAAATGGTGAATACACTACAAAAGCTAATTGTAATGGCGGAGTCAGCAATCTGACATGTTAGCTTTTTCTTTATTATTGTTCATTGCATTGCATTCTTACCACACACTTTCACCATCTTCCAGATGGGTGTTCACTTCCATTTCAGTGAGGAATGCCAACAATGTGAGCAAGTCATTTTAGGACAACTGGGAGTCTATTTTTCTCCACAGTGTGTCCAAATAACCAGTTAAAATTTCATAATAGTGCCCCTTTTGAGCATGGATGACATGCCATAAATCTATATAGCTATAAAAGCCATATAGTACTTGCATTTGGGCAACACTTTAATTTTCACTTGTGCTGTCTTTGCAGAGACATGCAGATGAATAACAATGTCAAGCCTGTCTATAATTCTTTAATGCTTACATCTTTAATCTGCCAGAATTCACATGTGTATGCATTAATGTTTCAGGGGTGACCCGCATAGGCCGTGAAGATGCTGCAATTCCTCAAGATATCACTATTGAGGGTCCTGGAATAGAGGCAGAGCACTGTCTCATTATCAGTGAAGGTTGGTGTTACTTCACTTTCTCTGAAATTGCCATGTTTACATCTTTACACTGTTAAGGGTGGGCTCTTCCTTTAATCAAGTAGGCTTTTCATTTTAATTTGATCTATCATTTTAAAAGCTTACTTTTGTCAAAACTACTGAATCTGTGAAGCTGAACTATTTGAACATATTTTGTCAAAAATGTAAAAGGCTGATTTGCTATATACCATCTCAGTAAGTAATAAATGAGTCTTTTGTTGTTTAATTACCATATTAACGTAGCACAGTTATCATAGTGCATGATAATAATCTTTTAAGTTTAATTATTCAAGAAAAACAATGTTTCAAGGACACCTGGATATCTGTCAATACACACAGTAAACATTGGGTAGTTTTAAAAAAAGAATCTTTACAGAGATGGAGAAGCTGAGTGATTGATTATACTTTTAACTGCTATTCCTTTGTGGCATCTTTTCTATAATTACCCTCAGCTTTCAGGCTTAAAGCCTTTTGTAAGAACGGAAATTGCCTGGTTTTATGTGTATGTTAAGCTTGGTAGTACAATTATGAATCACCTTTCAACAGGCAAATTACATGGTAGTGAGTTATATTATAGTGAATTGCAGTTGCACAATTTTACTGGTGAACAGTATGAACTTAACCCTGACTCTCTTCTCACTGTGAATATAACAGGAGGGGTGGTAACCCTGGACCCCTGTGGTCACCTCTGCAGCCTGGATGGAGTCCTGGTCACTGTGCCTACACCACTCACACAGGGTAAGAGCTACACACCTAATATAGTTCAATCTGCTTTCAGAAAGGGCACAGACATACAGACAGCTGACAAATAAAAGGAAAAACCTAAATAAATGAGCGGCTTCTTCCAGGATGACAGTGCTCTAGTCTATAGTATACGAGGGGTCACAGAATGGTTTGATGAGTATGAAAATGATCTCATTTGGAAAAAGTGGTGTTCATTCCTCCAGCAGAGTTAATTTGCCACTCGTCTGAATGACAGCTTTGAGATATTGCCACCTACTGGTCAATATGAGCGCAGAGGTGGAACAAAGCTGATTTTACTGCATAGAGTGTATGTACTTTCATGATGTCACAATGCCTATATGTATGGGAAAGATGGAGAGAGCGGTTAGATTTTTGTTTGGGTAACGTGCATTCTTTTCAGTGTGTGTATGAGTCATTTGGTTAACACTGTGCTGACGTCTGCATGGAAACAGCAGGGTGTACAGTTGTGCTGGGTGCATGTGTATAGACATTGTATTGACATATTTTAACTGGATAGCCTCACTATGATGACATTTCATCATATTAAGGACATTATGGCCATTCCTTATAACTTGAGGTTCAGACTTGGTTTTAGAGTTAGAATTAGGTTTAGGTGGGGGTAACGGTTGGGGTTAGGGATTTAGATGGTGGTTAGATGGTTTGGGTAAGTGGTTAGGGAATGCATTTTGCCAGTGAGTGTTCTTACAGTTATAGGAAGACCAATATGTGTGTATGTGTATTTGCAGATAGATGTATGAGTCTTTTTCTGTATATGTTTTGGTGTAGCACATGTGTGTGCACCCCTGGTTTGATTAATTCACCATGGTTTGGAACAGCTTGCTGCTACAGTGAGTCACAGCTCCCAGCCACTGCAGGGCATACCCTAGTATAAAATCTGTTGTAGTAGTGACAAAATACACCAACAAACTTTGCCAAATTCTGATGTATCGCTCTTCTTATCTGTTTCTCCACCCCTGGCCACATGCCTGGCTGTTTTTTTGCCTGCCAGTATCTTGATCAGTTTATCTCTTGTCTGTCCTTTCTCCTTAATTGCAGAGCTCTCCCAGTGTCACTGTCTTTGCCTTTCATAACACTTCCCACTCTGTTTTCCTTCCTTTAACTTCCCCTCTCTTATTTTATCAAACAGTATACTGACTTTGTGCCTTTCTGTTTATGCATTTCTCCTTTTCATTGTGTCCTGTGTGGCCTGGAGATTTTAAGTTAAACATTGACAGATCTATTTATCTTCTGGCTGTGCTGGGTTGATTCTAATATTGACATTGCCTTGGTGTATCTACTTACAGGAGGTCAGGACATTGTGATTGAAAAAAAGATAAAATGAGTTTTAGAAAAGTCAAAGGGCATGGCCTGGAAGATTATGGCAAGAGGCAGAATGAGAGTGAACATCTTCCAAAGGTTACTCACTCATCTCAGATACTCTGGGCTGAGTTAGTCTAAAGGCACACACACTGTAGGGCAGTCTGGAGATGATTAGCTATGTTTTGGAAGTGATCTGTTCTGTATTTGGGATTTTGGAGCATTAACTGGAATTGCATCAGATGATGATAAAAACCACCGTGTAGCTATAACAACATATTGTACACACATAGTTATCTATGTGCATTCTTAATATTTATTGGTACTGTAGTTTATAAAAGTAGTTGATGGATCAGCTATTTCTGCATGTTGCATCCCTTGCATTTTTCATTGATTTTTCGATTAGTCCCCAACCCCCAGTTCACATTTTAGTGGAGTTTGAGTATAAAACCCAATCTCCCAGCATGCACGTCGTTCTAGCTGCTGAACAACACAGCTGTTCCGTCTCTCTGTGTGTGTGTGTACAGTCTGCACATAATAGCTGTCAGCGGGTTCATGGAGTACTGAAAATGGCTGCAAATAAAGCATCTGAAAGAAACAAGAAACAGTTGGAGTAAATCACCCTGATTTAACCTGCAGGGCAAACTTGGCTGTGTTTTAAATTGAATCGAACTACCCCGTTTGTAAGGTTTTACGTCGGTCTTTATAGCACAGCTGGTTTGTGGTTGCACAAGTGTGAGGTATCTCAAAGAAAATGAACAAAAAATAGGTAGGCGAACAAAGCAAGGCTGAGGGGCAGTCTACTAAATACCTCAATTTAATAGACTTCAAACCTACCAACTACAGATAGGGGTGTTGGCGTATTCCACTGTTAGCTTGCACATGCTAATAATTAGTTACGCTCATAGATTTTTACTTTTTATTGTATTTTAATTTTGAATATACATCTTCATAGCGATGCTGAGCTTCTTGATGGCATTTAAAGTCATTTGTTCTCGTAAATCCTGAACCCCTACCCCTTCGTCCTGACAGTTGGTACAGTCTCGTGCTCAGACGTGGCATTTAAAGTAATTTGTTCTCGTAAATCCTGGACCCCTACCCCTTCGTCCCGACAGTTGGTACAGTCTCGTGCTCAGACTCGTGGATGGTAAATCAGTGAACTTTTCTCTTCCACTCCAGTCGTCTCATCGCCGGGGAGGGAGGCAGGCGACAGCAAAGACCGGCAGCAGCGTAGATTATATATCCCATATTTTTCCATTTCTTTCCAGAAGAAGTTGTTTTTAGATATTATAATATGACTTTTCAGACCAATAAAGGAAGAAAATAGAATTTCCTCACGTGAAAAGTGCTTACTGAATGAGAATCAGAAGGTTTGTGACGGATTTCTGTTATCTGACAAAACAAAGTAGCGTTACCTTTTACTCAGGTACAGTTTTGATACATTTTATCGTAGTCTCCTCTGTCTTATCCACTCATTTAGCTATTTATCAAAATGAAATACTTGTTTGTTTTATTTTTACTAGATGCTTAGGTCACTATAGCACCAGTGAGTTTGTTTAGCTGATTCACCTTCATACCACTGTTATGGCTCAAACTAGCATCACATGCTCTTTGAACAGGTTGGGGACTGTTTTCCTAGTTATCATTCATCAGTAGACCATTTTAAGGGACTGATATATTTAATTTCCTTTGTAGCCATAGAAAAAGACTGTAAAGCACAGTTTCACATGACTTGTCTCAGCAGAACTGCAGGTGTGAATCACTACTACTGCTGAATTCAGTTCCCACTGAGCGGTGAAAGTTTTATTTGCATTGAAATTCTGGAGTTGTTCCATCCCAACAGGTTTTAACATATTGTCTGCACATTGGTGCTGGCAAGTTCACAGACTGGCGTGAGTTCATATGGCAAGGAGAACCAGCCTGAGGCTGTGAAGACAGACTCCAGTAGTCAGGATACCTGACACCTGAAAACCTAACCCATTGTTCTGGATGGCATTGTGTTCACAGTGCTTTCTCCTGCCTGCCTTTTGCACATTTGAGTTTTTTTTTGTTTGTTTTTAATCTTATATTATAAATCTGATAAACAAGAAATTTGGTATTTGTGTTCACCTGTCTTTCTCATAGAGTTGTTGGTAGTTTATACCTCTGGTTGTTCCCAGGCTTGCAACTTTCACTTGAAAGAAGTGGGGTGTGTAAATGGATTGATGTTTTGTGGATGAGATTTGAGGTAGAGCAGAGGGAAGATATCTGGTGAAGAGCCAGGTTATGCATGTGAGAGTGAGTTGGGGGTGGAAGTATGAGTGAGTGAATGAACTAATCTAAACCAACTTCAAGGAGAGTAACCAGTCTGTTTTTTAAAGAGATTGTTTGACTCTTGTGCCTTGAGAGTTAATTTGTGGTTTGAGGCCAGTTTACACACTGGGACCTATGCTTGTGTGCATCTTTTCATGAGTGACTAAATTCCACTTTAGTTAAATGTCATGCAGTGTTTACAGCACCAGTGCTTGTGTGTGATTATTTTGTACATCAAACCTCACCAGTAAGCAGGAAAATGAGTTGGACATGGGGTCTTTATAATTGGTTTGTTTTTCATTCTAATCTAGTGGTGTACATTTGGCCATTCCTCCACTTATGTTAACGGTTCTGGGTTTCCCCTCCTATAATGTTGTGATGAAAGTGTAGCTTGTTTCTCTCAGATCTACATGGGGACGGAAATTGGCTCCAGACATGATGTGGCTCCTACATCTGTGTCCTCAAAGAGTCTGAGGTCTGACTTTGTAGATTGCAAACTTGAAATTATCCTATAAATGTATATACAGACTGATGTCAGAGTTCGCTGCTACCGAAGGTTGGTGCTTATACAGATTGTGTATGTGCGGGGGGGCGCACATGCTTTAAGGAGGTAAACTCAGTTTGCTGGTAACCAAGTAAACACATGAATGGCATTAAATCTACATGTCTTTCTGTCATTGTGTGAACCCATTTTAGTTCAGTACCATTGTTGTGAGTGCTTTTCAGTATAGTAACAAAGTTTTGGCAGGTCCTTACAACGTCAAAGGGTTGTTTGAGGGTTAAGAGTTGATTTTAGGGTCCAGGTTAGAATTAGGTTTATGTTAGGGTTGGAGTTACACATTTACTTATGGTGGTTAGGGTAGATAGCTAGGGAATTCATTATGTCAATCAGTGTCCTCACAAAGATAGCTGGTACAACAGGCGTGTGGGGGTATGTGTTTTTGTTTGTTATTTGTATGTGGTAGGATGCTGTGTGAGCCCTTGTAATTGTGTCACACAATAACTTTAGGAGTATGGGTTTAGGAAGATGTTAGGTAATTTCCTTACAGCCAAGATAACTGAAGTGAGCGTGTCTGAGAGAGAAATTATAAGGACTGAATCATCGTCTTTAAACACTGTTTCTGCGTTTCTCCGTTGCTGTGTTTCTCGCTGTCACACAGGCACACATACTGCTACTATTTGTTTGTCTTGAGGCTGGGGAGGAGGCAAGGATTAGCTAGTTATTTGTTAGCTCAGGGGTTGAGAGGAAATTAGAGTGGGGCCGTGAACAAATCAGGACAAAACGTTTTACCCCATACTTTAAAGGTGGCACATGGTGAGGTTATAGAGGGTGGGAAATTAGATTTTATTACAAGAACTGCCTCCATGTGTGTGCACACGTCTTTATTACATTTTTTCCCGATGCCATCATTTTGGGGATTTTAATCAGTCCTTACAACTTGAAAGAGTTTGAAGGTTAAAACTCGCTTTTATAGATGAGGTTAGGTATTTAGTTGTGATGGTAAGGGGCTAGTGAATACAAAGACAGCTGTACAAGCATGTGCACAGCGTGTGTTTGCTGTTATACAAAATAGTGAGAGTTACTATGAGCCATTAGGTAGAGACTGTAACGAGACACACAGAGCATGCCCTACATTTCAAAGATGTAACATTAGTCATGTCTGGCAGTGAGAAACATATTATCAGGTCTTGCTCACACTAGCTGACATGGTGACTTGTGTTTGTGTGTGTTTCTTCTTCACAGAGTCACAAATCTTGTGATCTTTGTCATGATGTCACTTCCTCATAGTTTCTGTCCAAACACACAAAATAAATTTACCTGAGTATATATTTGAGAAGATCAGTCCAACTGTGTAGACTAAACATTTCTCACACTGTTTTCGTGTGTGTGGTGTTAGCTCCACCTCACCACTGGATTCAGGTGTCCCCCTGTGCTGAGAAAATAGAAAGTGTCTATACAGATATGACCTCTTTTAACTAAATAGAATCTCATATTAGGGTATAAACATGATATTTTTGAAGAGAGTTTTGTGAAACTGGACATTAGGTATAGAGTGAGGAAGGAAAAAGACAAAATAGTGATGAGAATGAGGAAAGCAAAACGGTTTGGACATTTTTCCACTCTCTTTTTCCACTCGTCTTCTCACTATCCCCCTCCCATCTCAGTGGTTGGGTATGACTTCAGCTCCAAGAAATCTGATGTAACTATGACAGAGCTATTAAGGAGGTGCTTACTGAGGCTTTAACAGACATTGTTGGGATTTGCTTTAATGTGTATATGAACCATTTACCCACAAAGATGGAGGCTGATAGAATGAAGAGAGCCAAGAGATTGTTTGTGCGTGACCAAACAAGAAAAAGAGAGGGGAACGCGTTGTTTATTGACCAGTGTTATGATTTTCTGTCCACTGTCTTTTGTTATTTCTCTACTTGTTTTCTGCTTTCCCTGAACCTCCTGGGTCAGCACTGAAGTCCGTTTCTCCATTTCCTTCTGCAGTATTTAGACAGCTGTGGCTGACTGTGTGTATGACCAAGGTTGTGACCTTAACATCTTGTGTAATACCTTACCCTCTAAGCCTAATATATGGCCAGAGCAAACACTATGGTCTGGTCTATGGTCTGGAATGGCTGGTTGTGTGCAAGTATTTGGCTGGCAATAAATACTCCAGACCCAAACTGTACTTTTGACTGTCTCTCTCTCAATATAATCTGTATGGTGTAGTACATACGTCACCATAGTCTAGTTTGTTTTGTGTTCTACAAGATTGCTTTTCTGTCATTCGATGCCAAGATTTACTTGATTACATTTATTTTTTTGACTCAGCAGAGTCGACACTATTCTCTATACTCCACTCTACTTACTGTAATTGTAGAGTCCGTATCTTCTGGCTCAGCAGATACACATTGCATCTGTAATCTTATGTTCTGTTGTCTATGTGTTTCTTCTCCAGGTTATTCCCTGTGTCTGGGTAAGTCCTATTTCTTCAGGTTTAACCATCCTGAGGAGGCAAGTAGAATGAAGAGTATGCTCCCACAAAAGAGTCCAGTGTCTGCTTTAGCCTACAACACAGGTAAACCCCTTTCTTGACCCCTGAGCAGCACTTGATCCCTGTAGTTTTTTCTTTGTTCCTCCTCGTGCTCCGTCTTCTACTATATCACTGTCTCTTTGTCTGCCTCCTGTTTCATCCTCTCATAACATTTTTCAGTTCTTCTCCACAGTCAGTCCTTCATCACCTTCTTCTTTTGATAGAACATCTGTCCCCACAGAAATCTTTTTCCCTATCATCTGACAGCGATATCAGGGTAAAGTTACAGGTAGACAAAATCCAGACAGGTGTGAGAAATTGGGATGGTGGTCTTGAGTATGCCTGTTAGAAGGAAGGCAAGGCTGGGGGCAGGTATATGTTATAGCCCTCTCAAAAGTCTTATACACACAGTGTAACAGTTTGTAATGTAGTAACGCTGCATAATGTTCCAATAATGTAATAAAAATGTTGAGCGCAAATGTAATAAGTTTTTGCACATAATGGAATAAATTATCACATTTTGTGCAACCTGTTGCATTGAGTTTAAAACTAGCTTAACCTCACTGCAGCCCTAAACAATACATTAATTAACATTATAAATACTTTATATGATTTATCTGTACACTATTTGTATGGAATATTAAATTATTGCCACCCTGAACTGTCTTGCATGAGGCATTGTTAAGTGATTGTTTTTCTAACTATTTGGGCTCAGGAGCAGTAAAGTACATAAAAAAAATGAAAACAAAAACAACACACTGTCAAGGTATGTATGTGTGCACATACTGAATGGCACTGGCTTCAGAGTCTATAAACTGTTTATGGATTCTCTAAAATACAATCTTTTAGTCTTTTCAGTACAAACAAACATTTATCATGTGCGCTTTGCATTTGAATGGCATCTCTAAACTTGAAAACACGTGGTGCAATTGAAATATGCATGAAATACTTTACATACTGGAGCATGAACTTTTTATTTTTATTACATTTTTGGAATATTATATTATCAGCTTTTATTATATTATGAGTTTCTACACCATATTGGAATGTTTTGTCTGGTGCTCCTCTGTTGCCATGGTGATACAGCTGGACTCTGCTGACCTCTTAGTGAATGATTGTGCCGCGACTAAGGTGCGTGTGCGATAATCAGTACATTCCTTGGTCTTTAAACTGCTAGACACACAAGGAATGCACTCGTCTCCCCCAGTTTCTGTGATGTTTTCATAAAATGAAACACACATTCATATTCACACTTAGAAAAACTGTTAGAGACAAAACAAAATCTTTACCCGTCTCAGGGCTCTAGATTGCCAAGACTTGCACTGTGACACACACCTAAAGTGAACAGTAGTAGGGCATAAAAGAGAATAGTCACTGAGGAGAGTTGATGTTCTCCAGACCTGCAGTGTTAAACAGTCCATGTATGGACACAAACACCCTGCATGCGTGTTGTGTTTCTAGACCTTATGTCTTTCATTTTCTGCTCCATTTCTCTTGCCCATGTAAGGTCTGACATTTTCTCACACAGGCTTATATTCAGCTATGATGTGCACTTTTGGGTATTCTCTTACAATATGACTCAACAAAGCAGTAGTAGTTGAACATTATCACTTAAGCTCAGATTCTTTAACACCTGTATAGTCTTGGAATATGTATACATGAAATGTACACATTTGCCATTTAGAGGAAAGCATTTGTGTGTGTAGGTGTGTATGGCAGTTAAACACTGGGTGGTCTAAGCTTGAACATTGTTATAGCTCATTTTCCACATAGAGCTACAGATGAATAAAAAAAAAAAAAGGGCAGATTTCTCACATTGTCTTCTGCTACCTAGTGTTTTTGCCTACATTTCTGATGATGGGATAATCTTTTAGGATAGGGCTTTTGGAATTTTACACAGAAAAATGGAGCCACACTACATTCATTATACATGTTGAAGTGGGCCAAATCAGTTTTTTTATATCAAATCTGGGCAACTGGCAAACATGTGTCTTAGATCTGATTCCTATTTCTAGCTATGAGATCACTGTCCGAACAATCGGATTGAAATTCATGTGGGTTTTTCTGGTCAAAGGAGTGGCAAGGATGTTCCAGAATTGTTGGGCATTTATTCTGAAAGGTGATAACTTTCTTTAAGCAGCCATGTTGATGGTTTCACTTCTGCAAAAATTGGGTTATTATTGTACTCGAATGGCTCACATTTCAGTTAAATCTGTGCATGCGTGGCAGTTTAGGTCCTCAGTGCTGCCAGCTACATGTCACGAGCATGATTGTGAACTAGAAGAAGATCAAATGTACTCGTACTAAATTTAGGAATATTTTACCATGTAGAACATAGTTTTAAGGTGATATGTTTCCTAGTTAAATACTGACTGAGGATTGGAAAAAGACCACCTCACTGCTGAAACTACTTTAAACTGGGTGGTCTAAGCTTGAACATTGTAATAGCTCGTCCTTCCTAAAGGCTTTAGGAAGGATGTGGAGCATCAAGTGTATTCTAGAACATTTTGAGGTCTTTTTTTATTTTGCTAAACCCTATACTACGGAACTGAACTCTACTGAGAGTTATACTGTTTGTCTTGGATCAGATGGATGGGTTTGTGGGAGTGTGTATTTGCATACAGCATGTGTGGTGAGTGCTATTCTGGGGGACCTGCTGCTGGTTGTGGATTGTTTGGGTTGGGTTTGTTCTGCCAAAGACCACATTTATGACTGGCTGCAGCTTTGAGGTACACATGCAACTTTGTCTTCTTTCTGTTTTCTGCCACTATTAGTTTATTTTTTTTCTTCCTTATCCTTTTTCAGATATTGAGCTTGTTATCCCCACAAACTAACAAGAAAAAATGTAATGTCCATCCGTCTTTGTATCCATCTGTATTGCTTATCCCAGTCATGCAGTGTTTCTTTGTTTTGTATTTGCCCTAAGCTTTCTCTTCACACAGTTTCCCCTCCTTGTTCCCCCCGTCCCCATTAATACTCCCCCTTTCTTTCTCATAAATGTTAGCCTGTATTTTTGTATCAGCAATTTCTCACAGTTTTTATTTTCTTTCTCTCCCTTGCAGACTATCTGAAATTTAGCAGTGACTATAGCCATGCGGTGGTGGGTGGCACCAGCAGCGCTAGGGGCATGCGATCGGCCTCTGAGCTCCGGGATTTGATGGACACCTTACAGCGCAAAAAGATTGCCCTGGAGAACAGCCTAAGAGCCAATGGGAATGCTAATCCCACCTACTTTAGTGTGACGCAGGTCAGTTGGGATTTAGCTCAACTACAGGGTTTATGATCCTACTTTTGCTTTAACAGCGTCTGCATCGTTGGCCTGGATGTTTGTTTTGGCCTGAACTGGGAAAACCAGAGTTTACTCCTGTTGTCATGGATTTTACTACAAGTGATCAACAGCATACAATTGGCAAGACTGCACTATATTTAATCTTTAACATTAATCTACTTCACCTTTAGCTTCTCTGGATATTTCCATCTCTTCATCTATTATTGCTATTGTAATATGTTCTTTTGCCTTCTATTTCTCAGTCTCCCCCTACCACACCTATCTTGAGTCCAGCCACATCCTCCACAGCCTATCAGGAACAGGCTAGGCGATTTTATGGCTCAGATCGTTTGCCCACGTCATTGAAATCTGCTCCCCCTCTTTCCCCTGGAAGTCGATCTGATCCCTCTTCCCCAGCCTCCTGCACCTCAGCTGGTCGCAGCCGTGACAACTTCGGTATTGGCGGTAGCCGTCTGCTGCACAGTCAAGGCTCCTCTCCTTTGCTTTCTACATGGACTAGCGGAGGCTCTTCAACTTCTGTTGCTGGTGGCGATAGCTTCGTCCTCTCTCTTCCGCCATCCTCTTCATCATCCCACATTGCATCGACAGGAGGTGCAGTTAGCATGCCCTCAAGCCCTCGTCTTGGACGTCGTAGCTTTGGAAACCAAGAGCCATCGCCCAGCAGTCGAACCAGAAAATATTCAGCAGGTTCCATGAATGGGATGATGGGAGGAGGGCACAGCCACTCGCTGCCACGCCTCTGCCCCTCCCCATCTCCTCGTGACAACAATGGAGGGCTGACTTTGTCAACGCTGCCCCCACGGCGATCTGACATTGCTGGGAATTACAAATTTAGCAAAGACCATTACAGCAACAACAGCCAGAATGCCAGCTCCGAATTCAACCACAGCTTTAACTCCAGCCAGCAAGCCTGCAGGAATCAAATCCAGACCACAGCTCAGGCAGAAGGTGTCCTGTCTATCTCCCTGTCCTCCCCTAAGAACCTGCCCTCCACAACGACCTCCAGCTCCTCCACAAGCACCCCACCTGATGTGACCATCGCATCCAAAGCGGGGGGCTCCTCTTCTCCTCGTGTGGCCAAAAAACTCAGCCTGACTTCCACTAGCTCAGTGGGCTCTATCAGCTCCACAAGTGCCAGCCCCCCAGAACCAGAACGGCTGGACAGCCGTGAAGTCTCCCAAGGAACAGACCTGTCTTTTGAGGAGAGAGAGAGGAAAGGGGTAGGCCTAGAGCTCACTGGTGCCACGGGGCTTGGCCTTGGAGAAAGGAGGTCTTCCTTTGGGAAGGCAGGCCTAGAACCTGGGTTGGGGTTGGGTGAGCGAAGGCAATCATTTGGAAAAGCAGGAGTGTTTCCACCAGGGGGTTTCAGGGAAAGAAAGGGGAGTATCAGCTCACTGAGTGGGAAGGAGGAATTGACAGACTACCACCAGCGCCAAAAAGAAGAGAGACTCCGTGAGCAGGAGGTGGAGAAACTGGTGAGTTGGAGCGTGTGTCTGCATTTGTTCAAAGAACACCACACAGGTCTCATGTCCTTCAGCGTCTGTCATTTCACATTATGACAACATTGTCATTCAGATCACCTGACAGTGTATAGATATAAACTGTGGTGAAGACTGCATTCTGTAGTGTGATGTGTCGATCAGTGTAGCTCATAGATAGACAGACTATTGACAGGTAAGATTACTGAAACAAGATACACACATCTGTAGTTGACCATTGCTGCTGTTCTGCGTTCAATGCAATCATACAAAGACAAAAAAAAAAATAATGAATGATTTTAGAGAAGCTTCAGTTCACACTAACCGTAACTTCTGAAACCAAGGATGGGGTTTGATGACATTTTATCGAATGTGAATCCAGCTCTGGATCAACTTGAATTTGAATCTTGTCAAATCCCTTATCAAATCTGTTTATTATATAAAAAAAACTATAGTGCATTTATTTCACTTTGTGTAGCAACAAAATTTAACTATGGTGTCTCAAACATATTCTCCCAGGGAGCTTAACACACACATACACACAGGTTCACCACTCACACAGATTCCTCTGGGTGCTAGCCCATACTAACAAGACTATTCTTAACCCTGTGCTTCAAATGTGTGTGATATTATATCGGTCATCTGGAGAACCGCCCAGTGTGGTTTGGACCACAGAACACATCATTCTGATGTGGGTTCCACAAACCAAGCAGATTAGAGAGCGGAGTTATAGTGTAACAGGTGGGAAAACAGAGATGCTCAGCATACCACAACTGGACTCATAATGTCACTATCCCTCTCTGTCTCACACAGTCCTATTCTGCAAAGTGAACCAGTCCCGTTACACATACCAAGAGGTGCATTCAGACTGTATTAAACAGTTTTTTTTTTTAGGTTTTCTCTAATGTTTTTAGTTACCAGTTATTCAGAAACTATAAAGTGACAAATTACACTGTGAGCACACCCACAGACTCAAGCTCAGGAAAGCATCTCGTCTTAACTTTGTCCGCCCTCTAGTGGTAGTACAGGGAAACTGCTTTGTTTCCTCTGTCAGTAACTTTGTAAATTATTCTAGCAACAATAGGGAGAGAAGCACAAAAACAATAGTTGACTAGATTGCCAACTGTGCCATTTAACATACAGCCTAGATGTATATGAAAATGTTTGGTTTCAGGTATTGTATTCCATCAGTCCATATCTACAAATATGTAAATAGCCACACAGCAGCTTGTCTTGGTAGTATAAATAGGAATTCAGGAATTGACAATTAAAAGAAAAGCAGGTTGCAGTTGCTACTAGTATGAGAGCACCAAACAGTAATCCTGAGGAATAAAAGGAGACAGAGTAGGTGAAAAAGATTGAGAGACAGATATAAATAGTCTTAAATCAAGGCATGGGTGAGATTCCCAACTTCCCATTAATGTAAGAAAAGACCTCTTATTTCACCTGAAAACAGTAGCAGGATATGAAAACCAAACCAAATAAGATATATCTTCAGTATTTCTAAACAGACACATGACTGTCTTGAGACTTTCCCTGGAAAGCATGTTTTGTTTTCTTAGGGGCAATATTTAGAATCCCAGCTTGTTCTCGAGCACACTTCCGATCCTAATGGACAGAAGTCCGCCCTTTCATTAGCCCACTCCCTCTCTCTCACTTACATACGCATACCTCTGCCCTGCCCATACCTTATCTGGGGTCCTTCTTTCCCTCTCTAATATTACATGCACATGCTTCCTGTGTGGCTTACATACTTTGACTTACTATTTTAATTCACTGCAGCCTCCATAGCTCCACATATAGCTGTGTTTGTGCAGGCAGCACTGTGGTAAGAGGAACTCTTGCTCCAGGTATAACTAGTGAGAGGAAATATTCTTTCTAGACTTATGCAAATGAAATGCTGAACTACAGGGAGCAAGTCACATGTAAGAAACCATAATACTGCTTGTATTTTGACTAAACAGAGACCTTTTAACAGACAAGATTGATTTCTATGATGCCTAATGTCTAAGTGACATTAGAGTCTAATGATTAGACTGACATGGTGGTAGTCTCCACAGACATTTAAGATACAACTTGTGTGTGTCTATATTTGTGCGCCTGTCTTAGGAGCGGCAGAGGCTAGAGACCATCTTGTCCCTGTGCTCAGAGCTGGGCTGGTCTGAGAGGGATGGAGGTGGCAAGGCTGCAAGTGCCACTTCAGCTGTGGCAGATCTTCAAAAGATCAGCCGGGAGCTTGAGAAGCTCCAACTGAATAATGATGATGATGACACACCATCTGTGTTTTCGGACTCTTCGGCTGTTATCGAAACAGGGAATGGACACGTGACCTCCCCTGGATCGGAGAATGGTTACTATAATGATGATCTACAGGTACGGCAGAGGAGCAGAAGTGGTCACCGGGATAACAGGGTAGAATTACCTGCCGCTGGTCTGCAGAGATTTTCCCCTTCACCTTCTCCACATATACAGAGGACCAATGAGGTATATGAGATAACATTTGTTTGGATGCTTACTTGAAAGCAGACGTCTTTGTGCAGATACAGAAATGATACATGGTCATGTCATTGTTTTTTAATGGGCCGGTCTTTCAGTTGGAAAATTCAAATAGAATTTGACTAACATGATATATACAGGACAAAGTTGCACTAATTTAGTCTACACATTTGTCATTGCAGTTTCCACCCCATATGAGGATATAAAACCATTTAGTTTTGTTTGTACACAATACTGTCTGTTTGTGAGAAACAAGTTGCCGTGATTACACTTTGTTGTGAATATTACAGAACTATTTCCAGCCAATTTGTTAAATTAGAACAGGCTAAATGTTACTGTTCAGATTTGGGAGTTGGCGTTTGTGTGTACAGGTGTTGCCCACATTTGTTTGCTTTAAAGACAAAAGCTTTCATTGCCTAAAGGAAAGACAGTACCACTGCAACAAAACAGAATTTTGAATGTTTTTATGTAAACATTTCCAGCAGGGAATAAGTGGTTGTAACTATATCTTAACAAATGTTCAATCTGCAGCTGTGCTGATGTTGTTACCAGGCTCTAGATGAAGCAGCTCATCGCTGTGGACAGGACATGAGGCCTTCAGAGGAGGAAGTGAGGCGTGTGGAAGAGGAGAGGATCCAGGTGCTGAACAATATGGAAGAGCTGGAGCAAAAGATCAAAGAGCTGGACAACCAAATGGAGGAATCTGCCCGAGAGGTAGCGAGGACAGAAGGATGATACTGAAATCAGTAGTAACAATTTAGTGTAACGTCAAATATAAAAGTTGTTTTTAAGAGGAAGAAAAGGGGAAAATTCTACTTGTTTTCATATCAGTGACATGTTTGAAGTGAAAAGCACACATTATTAAGTGTTGGTATTGACAGGGTTTAATAAAAGCAGTGATAAACCAGGAATTTAAAATGATCTCTTGCTTCCAAATGGCTGACTTACTGATGTGTTTATGTAAGGTGGAGGTTGAGCGAGCTCTGGTGGAGGCTGAGCAGGAGTCTGAGGTATCTGCTCTCCAGCAGGAAAAAGATGCACTGGAAGAACTTCACAACAAGATGGCTGACCTGGAGACCAAGTCCAAACAGGAAAAAGAAAAGGTATTTACCAGGCTACACTTATTTGTAAAACACAGAGGGAGAGCGATGCTTGTTAGAGAGTCACATGGCTGACAGAGACCAGGGCCCATAATTATCAAGCTTTTCTGAATATGTCCCAGGAATTGTGCTGAAAGCTGCCTTAGGACTAAAAAAGACCTACTTCAGAGTAGGACTTAAAATTTGTTTATGAAGTATCTCACTCTCAATAGCAGTGATGGCTCTCTGGCACCAATGCTCCGACAGAAATTTCCTTGAACCGCTGCATCGAAGCAGAGGAAATGAGGCATGGAGAACAAATGAGCCAGCAACCAGACTGAGGGAAAGGAGGAGGATATATACACAGGAGAGCAGAGGATAGTGAGTGTTGATTGCAGATCGAAGTAAAGCTGCGGCAGGTGAGGTGACACAGGACAGGAAGTCTAACCAAAATAAAAGCACCAAACAGGAAGCAAGTCCACAAACCATAACATAGTCAGGGTTTGTAGTTTTAGGCAGTGAGAAATGGAAATGTCGATATTAGCAATGATTTGGGAAGTGAAGGCTTTATCTGTATAGACAAGGAGCTGATAGCAGGAATTAACATGTTCATTATACGCTGTAGAAGGTGCTTTAGATCAATTCTCTTTCTATAATAGGCTTTAAGTTTATTGGAAAGCCACTCATAATGTGACTCATCTGTCCGAAATTATCTTCATCGGCCCTATTTTTTCTAATTCTGTATAATAAAGCTGTGTAGAGGGAAGAGTTATTTTCAAATAAAAGTTTGTGGATCCATTTGATCCACTAAATTCAGTAAATTAAGGATCACGTAGTTCACAGCCACTTAAGTGTTAATGCTGTGGTAACGTTTTTGATTCACAGAAGCACCTTCATCATTGCTCAGGGCAATTTTTTTCTTTTTTTCTTTTTTTTTGATTTGATCTTTCAAGCATGTAAAGACAGTTGATATGTCAACACACATAATTTTACACATATCCAACAAATGCTAATCCAATATCAATTTCCTTATACCTAGTACATGCTTGAATGGAGTAGGAAGAAGTCAGACTTATCCAGTCCTACCCCATGACATCATCTTACAAGAAGGATCTAATGGTACTTACTGATCTCTGGTCAGGTTCAGGTGATGAGCCCTTCTCTGCAATTCTTCTCCTGTAAGACAGAGTCCAGAATTATTTCTGAAAAACAGTTGCTATTTTTAAAAACATATCATCATGTTTAATGTTAATATCATAAAGCACAGACCACACAATTCCTCCTGAACTCCACATTTTTAAAACCTAAATTCCTTAGATTTCTCTAGATCTTACAGTGATACTTCTCTGTCAGCAACAAAGTGCATTTAAATTACGATTTTACTACATATCATCTCATAATACTGAGGAATAGTGAGAGTGATGAGTACATGAACTTATTCTTCAGGTGGCACAACAAAATCCATTGCGACCAACATTGGGGTTTGCTAAATCTACTGTATGGCAACTGTGTCAAGTTTCACTTTTCTGTAGTATATGAAACAAGATCTGAAATTCATTCATATGACTCAAGTGCCTATTTTGAGACGTACTGAATCGAAGAGTAATATATGATGTGTCGCTACCTCCTTGCTAACAGGGCACTCATCTCCTCCATGAGCCCTCCTCCTCCAGGCAGAGGGCCGTTGCCTCTGGCTTCAGATTTGGCCCCTCCAGCCCCTGGCATGGCTGCTGCCAGAGCGGCCGCCGCCT